GCCCCGGGCAGCCCCAGCAGCCCGATCGCCACCTCGATCAGCGAGGACATGATGATGGCACCTTGGATCTGAACACACAACAGGGCAGAGAGCCAGCTCAGTGCCATCTGACGGCCAAAGCCCAACGCCTTTTGTTTTTCTGCTCTGGATTACAAACTGCAGTTAAAAGAATTCAGTGACACAGAAGAACTCAGCAAATTTTTTTTTTTTTTTTTCGTCATAAAACAGCTCATTATGTTTACGTGACTTATCGCTTTAAGCATAACACTTATGGTTTTCTCCACAAAACTATTACACAACAGACCAGTGGGCCAGTCTGGAAGCTGTGTGGAAAGCAATCACACTGTCAGACAGGAGACCTGGGGTCCAGGCTAACCTTTAAGCTCTCAGATCGAACGGCAAGGGTTGGTGCGCCACGAGGTGATGCTCCTAGCTCCTAGGGGCAGAGTGTGTGCTGCATTGGTCACAAGTGCTCCTTAGAAGCTGGATTAGAGCAGCGTTGTGGTCTCAGGAGACTGTCAGCCCTCTTGGCTGCAGGGCTCTTGGCAGGATGTAGCTATGGTTTGAACATGGGGAAGAGAGAGGGGTTGTTTTTAATTAAGAAAAAGTCGGCAGCCCAAAGCAACGGGATGGGAGATCAATTCCATGACACACGCCTTCATTTGGACTACTCTACCTGCCACCCTGGCGTGGCACAGCCCTCAGCCTGCCCTGCAGGGCACCACGACTTCACACTGCAGTGCTGAGGGTGGAGAAGGAGCTGCAGGTATCTCACAAGCCTTTGGGGGAGAATCGACCTCTTATCACAAGAGTCTCCAACTTAAAACACTTGGGAAGGAACCAGATTTCCTAAGGGCAGATTGAGCAGCCCCAGCGCACAGGGACAGCAGCAAGGGGCCTGGCAGCAGCTGAACTGCTGCACAGATCAAGGCTACAGAGGAAGAGTTTTCGTCTCTCTCGAGCATTTCACTGCACGGCTTTTGGGATGTGGTAACTAACTCCTGGGATTTGCTGTCCAGCAATGAACAGGTGGAAAAGATGAAGACTTCCATGAAATGAGCAAAGGGATATTTTCACATGGAGATCGCAGTGAAACAAGAAATCACCAACTTAAAGACAAGAACACACAGATGATAAAGTGAGGAACTTAACTGGAGCTGGAGAGAGTGACAGCAAAAGGCAAGCCCCACATTACCTCTCGTATCCGGGGGTACCAGATGTGCTCCGTGTGCAGCAGCTCTGCAGTTCCGTTTGCAACTGTTACATCTTCCAAAGAGACAAAAAACAGGGGTTTCTTTCATTGCCCAGCCGCTCTGCCCCACCCCACACAAACCAAACCCCTCCCCAGGCTGGGGCTGATAAAGGAGCCCCAAATCACACAGAGAGCAAGCTCTGCTCAAAGGAAGGCAAACAGCCAACCCCTCGCTTCTCCCTCTGCTCCAAAATTCCCAGCAACCAGGGCTGCAACAGGAAAATGCCCTGATTTCCAGACAGGAAGGTCAGCCAGGAGCTCCCTCCCCATTCCAGTGGGGAATTACTCAGCTGCACCCCAGGAATGCCCAAATCCAGGGCCTGCTGCTCCCCAGGGCAGCTCACCCACTGAAGGAGCTGAGCCCTGGGCACAGCCCCACTGGCAGCTCCAGCAGGGGAAAGGTTCAGGAGGGAGATGAGCAAAGCTCTTGGTGACAGTTTGGGGGGGAAAGGCTCAGGAGGGAGATGAGCAAAGCTCTTGGTGACAATTTGGGAGGGGAAAGAGCTCAGGAGGAAGATGAGCAAAGCTCTTGGTGACAATTTGGGGGGAAAGGGTTCAGGAGGGAGATGAGCAAAGCTCTTGGTGACAATTTGGGGGGGAAAGGTTCAGGAGGAAGATGAGCAAAGCTCTTGGTGATAATTTGGGGGAGAAAGGTTCAGGAAGAAGATGAGCAAAGCTCTTGGTGACAATTTGGGGGGGAAATGGCTCAGGAGGAAGATGAGCAAAGCTCTTGGTGACAATTTGGGGGGAAAAGGNCTCCCCAGTGCCCAGCACTGTTTATTTATCTGGGATGGGAACAACAAACCCCCCTCACTCTAACGCAGCCTGGCAAGTTCAAGGAGATGAAAGGAGCAAAGGAACAATTGCCAAACCAACTGCTTTGATCACACTTGGAGAAATCCCAGGGAATCATAAAACCTCACTAAAAAAAATTCCTCCTGTTCAGGAATCAGGAATTTGAGATACAGCTTATGAGAAAACAATCCTGGCCAGTGAGGCAAATGCCTCTGTATTATTATTATGGCTCCAAAAAGTCCCTTTGGTCACAGGTTTAGTCGACCAGAGAGGATGGCAACAACCAGCTCTGATCACTGCACAAACACCCCCCAGCTCCACATTTCTGTAGTAGAGAAAATAAGATTAATTTAAGCCTGCAGAAAAGCCTGGAGGTTTTCCACAGCAATTGCCTCGATGCTTTTATCTCTTTGAAAGAGATGAGCCTCCTGCAACAAAGGGATCTTCAGTCACACAGGCGTGAATGAACCTCACAAATACAAACGGGCTGATCAGGGTGGAGAAGTTTTCCTCCTCTTCTTTCCCAAAAGCTTCCATTCTTCATCTGCTGCTTTAGAAGTGGTTTCTTTTAAGAACCAAAGCATATGGGAAACCACAACGAAGCTGCCTCATCACAGTGTGGTGGCACAGCTGATAATTCCTGATTTCTATTCTAAAATAAATAATATTATTCCCTAATTACTCTGTTAACTTCTGAAGGGTGAGCCAGTTGTGCAATCCCACACCATAAACCCAGCCTTTAACAGCTTTAAACTCAGAGCTGGCCGACATAAAATTACATCCAGAATGTTGTGTGAAGTGTTTGGTGCTCTCCTGTAAATGATGTCACTGCCCTCTGATAAGCAGGGCCTGGCACTCCCTGGCTTGCCCGTGCCAGCAGTGCCCTGGCATGTCAGGGCATTGTCCTGCCAGGAACAGCTGTGCTCACCCTGAATGGGTGTGTTTGGGGCAGGGAATGCACAAACTCCCCACAGAAGTGATTCTTCAGACAGTGAGGGCCAGGGAGGGCAGCAGAGCTGTGCAAACCTGTCCCTGGCACTGCGCAGCCTTATCAGCACTGCCAAGGACTGATAACTCAGCCAGCCCTGATCTCCACGGTACAGGGGCTGTCACTTTGATCAGGAGAGGCACCCAGACCAAGCCTGCAAAGTGCAGCTGCAGAACCTCAGCCCTGCTGGGTTCTGGGGAGCCAGGGCTGTGGAATAAACCACGGAGAAGCAGCAGAGCTCTGGAACAGGAGCAATGACACTGCTGGGTTTGGGGGAACCAGAGGAATGACCCTGCTGGGTTCTGGGGCACCAGGGCTAAGGAACAAACCCCAGAAAGAGCCAGAAGAGCTCTGGAACAGCAGCCATGACGCTGCTGGGTTCTGGGGAGCCAGAGCTAAGGAATAAACCCCTTATAAAGGCAGCAGGATCCTGGAGCAGCAGCAATAACCCTGCTGACCCCAGGAGCACACACTTACACGGGTAGGGCACCCCAAACCAGCACACTTACACGGGTAGGGCACCCCAAAGAGCACACATTTACACGGGTAGGGCACCCCAAAGAGCACACACTTACAGGGGCAGGGCACCCCAAAGAGCACACACTTACAGGGGTAGGGCACCCCAAACCAGCACACACTTACAGGGGCAGGGCACCCCAAACCAGCACACTTACACGGGTAGGGCACCTTGAACCACGGCACCACCAGCAGCACTGGGCCCAAGAGCACACACTTACAGGGGCAGGGCACCCCAAACCAGCACACCCTTACACGGGTAGGGCACCCCAAAGAGCACACACTTACAGGGATAGGGCACCCCAAACCAGCTCACTTACACGGATAGGGCACCCCAAACCAGCACACACTTACAGGGGTAGGGCACCCCAAACCAGCACACTTACACGGGCAGGGCACCCCAAAGAGCACACACTTACAGGGATAGGGCACCCCAAACCAGCACACTTACAGGGATAGGGCACCCCAAACCAGCACACTTACAGGGGTAGGGCACCCCAAAGAGCACACACTTACAGGGGCAGGGCACCTTGAACCAGGGCGCCACCAGCAGCAATGACCCTGCTGGCCCCAGGAGCACACTCTTACAGGGGTAGGGCACCCCAAAGAGCACACTCTTACAGGGGCAGGGCACCCCAAACCAGCTCACTTACACGGATAGGGCACCCCAAACCAGCTCACTTACACGGATAGGGCACCCCAAACCAGCACACACTTACAGGGGTAGGGCACCCCAAACCAGCACACCCTTACACGGGTAGGGCNAATTTGGATTTTTTCCTATACAATTTGGGTTTTCCTCCACAACTTGAGGTTTTCCCCCATCATTTGGGTTTTTTTCTCCACAATTTAGGGTTTTCCTCCACAATTTGGATTTTTTTCCTATACAATTTGGGTTTTCCTCCACAATTTGGATTTTTTCCTATACAATTTGGGGTTTTCCTCCACAATTTGGGTTTTCCTCCACAATTTGGGGTTTTCCTCCACCACTTGAGGTTTCCCCCCATCATTTGGGTTTTTCCTCCACAATTTGGATTTTTTCCTCCACAATTTGGGGTTTTCCTCCACAATTTGGGGTTTTCCTCCACCACTTGAGGTTTTCCCCCATCATTTGGGTTTTTCCTCCACAATTTGGATTTTTTCCTCCACCATTTGGGTTTTTCCCCCATCATTTGGTTTTTTCCTCCACAATTTGGATTTTTTCCTCCACAATTTGAGTTTTTTCTCCACAATTTGGGGTTTTCCCCCACAATTTGGGGTTTTCCTCCACAATTTAGGGTTTTCCCCCATCATTTGGGTTTTTCCTCCACCACTTGAGGTTTTCCCCCATCATTTGGGTTTTTCCTCCACAACTGGGGTTTTCCCTCCACAATTTGGGGTTTTCCCCCATCATTTGGGTTTTTCCTCCACAACTTGGGTTTTTCCCCCATCATTTGGATTTTTTCCTCCACAATTTGGGGTTTTCCTCCACAATTTGGATTTTTTCCTTCACAATTTGGATTTTTTCCTCCACAATTTAGGGTTTTCCTCCACAATTTGGTGTTTTTCCTATACAATTTGGGTTTTCCCCCACAAACTGGGGTTTTCCTCCACCACTTGAGGAGGTTTTCCCCCACCATTTGGGGTTTTCCCCCATCATTTGGGTTTTTCCTCCACAATTTGGATTTTTTCCTATACAATTTGGGTTTTCCTCCACAATTTAGGGTTTTCCTCCACCACTTGAGGTTTTCCCCCATCATTTGGATTTTTCCTCCACAATTTGGGGTTTTTCCTTCACAATTTGGATTTCTTCCTCCACAATTTGGGGTTTTTCCTCCACAATTTGGGGTTTTCCCTCCACAATTTGGGGTTTTCCCCCATCATTTGGGTTTTCCCTCCACAATCTGGTGTTTCCCCCCCCAGTTTGGGTTTCTCCTCCCGCCCCCCGTGCCTGCTGGGTTTCCAGGTGAGCAGGAGGCAGAAGGGCCGAGGGAGGAGCAGGACACGCACCTGTGACCAGGGGGTTCTGTTTCAGGTAGCTGGGGAGCACGAGGCCGAAGAAGATGGAAAATCCCAGCACGAAGAGGTTGCGAGAGGAGTTGAGATCGATGAACTGCAGGTTGGACAGACCCACGGCCGTGATCATCCCTGGGCACAGCGACACAGCCCGAGGGCAGCTGTCAGGTAACTTCTTCTTCAAAAAACCCCAAAACCCAGCAAAATACCCCTGGAGATACCCCCCAGTGCATCTGGGTAATTTGTCATAAAGTGCATGGGGGTTTCTTAATAGCACAGCAACTGCTTTTTCTTCTTTTTCCTTTTAATTGTATTTTTAGAAGTTAGCAAACCTGGGAATCAGTGCACCAGGAAACCACAGTGCAACCAGAAAGAGAAGATTTGGGTAGATTACTAGGAAAGGAAGATTTTGGTAGATTATTAGGAAAGCAGTGTTACTCCTTCCTCTGAGGATTTCCTTCTGTTAAGCAATGCAGTAACATCGCTTTGTGTTTCATATATATTTTATGTTTG